ATTGGAAGCCCATTTTCCCTTGAATTCCCCTCTCTCCCTCTATGCATGCCGCCGACCCCCCATGGAGAAATTTCCCATTAATTGCTTGTTTAATGCCTTGACCGTTTTGAAATCATAATTTGATTTAAAAGATTTTTCCCTCCTAAGTTACTTAAAACTGAAAGTTACAGTTTTAAGAATTTTTAAACCTCCTCCTTTCCTCTAAGAGCCGCCGGCCACCCTCCTTGATGAGCCCCATTAATTGCTCATTAATCCCCCTTAATTACATTTGAAATTTGAAATTCTTTTCAAATAATTCCCTCCAAATTTACTAAAACCTAAGATTAATTTCAGATTTTAGTAAATCTCTTGCTACATTCACCCAACCTAAATCCCTTCTCACAAAACACCCGCCCCTCTCCCCACCGTGGCCGAACTCCCCCTTCCCCTAAGAAATCCCGCCGGCTCCTCTCTCCTCCTCCTCCTCCTCCCAATGCAAGGACTCTCCCTCACCGCCATTTAATACTCTTCTCCTTGAAGGATTCTCCAACGACAAGCATATATGGCGGACCCGGAGTTTGAGTGGGGATTAGTATTCAACGCCGACGGAAGCCTTAACATCCTACGATCCCCATTCTTTGACGTGGGATTTGAAGACGACTCCACCATTGAAGAGTATTTGGAACGAGTTGTGCCGATTATTTCCGACGTCATCGACCGCCGAAGTCCAAGCTACGATTGGAGCATCAACTGTCTACCGTTCCTGCCGTCCTCGCCACCGTCAACCTTTCCGTGGTTCAAGGCCGTTGGGTTTGCTACCGTCCTCGTGGCATCGTTGGGTTTGCTGAAGACTTTCTCCCGCTAACCCCTACTTGAGTGTGAGTGAGCAAGGTAACTCGTTGTGAAATTTCTAAATATTAGCCGTGGGATTCTATTTTACTCCGCATGTGCCTTATTGTGATAATTTCGAGAGCTATCGCTAATTGTGCCTAAACAACTAGTTGTAATTGCTTATCATAACAACTTTAACAATTGAGAATTCTTGAACCTCACCTTACGATATTTTAATCTTAAATTAGTATATTTTGTGATTCGTTATAAATTTCACGTGCAATTCTTGATTGTTTCACATCACTCAAAGGCTTCAAACCATGCAATAGCAGGAGCTCTACGCACCAAATATGCCTTAAGATTCATATCCTAACTGCTGCATACTTTCAGAATTTATTGTGATAAGTTCCTTTTCTTTTTTATAACCCAATGAGTCTAGATGACCTATATTGGCTCATTAGAAATCTGATGATAAAAAAATTTTTGTGGTGGCGTCCAATGATTTTCTAAATGTTTTCTTTTAGATTAATCAAATGGTCGCGACCAGAGTGATGATGATTGATTCCTCTATACTAGCCAATAGTACTTGCCATTTGGAACAGACCTATACAAGTTCAATTTAAGAAGACAAGTGCAAGTCTATGTTTCTAAGGTTAATTAGCCTAGTGCGTGAATTTTTAGGTTTATATCCAGTAAATTAACTAGATAGGATTTACAAATACTAAAAAGATCAAGAACACAAATAAAAAATAAACTTGATTCTAATAATACAACAACAACAACATCAAACCTTTATCCCGCTACGTAGGGTCAGCTACATGAATCATTTTTCTCCATTGTGTCCTATTAAAAGTCAAATTCTCGTTTAAATCTAATAAAGAAAAATCATTTCTAATATTTTCTAACCAAGTCTTTTTAGGTCTGCCTCTACCATTCTTAACATAAGTCAAATCTAATACCTCTACTTTCCTAACCGTCAGAAGACCGTCGTTTTATGAAAATGTATTTTAAATAATATTTACTGAAAATGTATTTTAAATACAACAAGACATGTGTAATACTTTTTAAAATTTTATATATCTTGAATTTCCAATTTATTCACTCTATATTGTTTGTGCAAAATTATTTAATTATTTATGATTATTTTCATGATTGTATATATTAATGAACTTAAGTCATTTAGTATTTTAGCAACTTTAAGCAAGCATAATTTTATTATTCAATTCATTAATTTGCTAATTATACTTAACTATGTTAATTATTCTATAATTTACTTAATCATGAAAAAGAGTTTAATGAATGATAATTTGATCAATCATTCTTAATTACGTCCTTTTTTATCTCAGTAAATTCCAAAAGTTACATATATTTTACTAAATTTGCTTAACTATGATAGTTATGTGTTAAATTGTTAATGATAATTAATTAGTAATAATTTACTTTTTATTTCTATTGGATTCACTAAATTGTTTACACATGATTTCATATATATCGCTAATATAACCATTAAATTATTTATAATATAAAATTTATTACTATTTACCAAATTGTCTTCCCTTTCCTCACCTTACTAAATGGAGCATATCTTAGTACGCTGATACCAATGTTTCAGATATTTCTGTAATGCTTTCTCTTGCCCTCTTCCTTGCCTCTATATAATGGATATAACAAGATGAAAATTTTATGGATTGGCGAAAGATATGAAAGCTTTATTGTAAAATCATTTTGAAGCGTTTTTGTGTAAAAATTAACGTGCTCGTCAAAATGTGAATCCTTGAAAGCCTCCACGTTGTGATCTCCTTCTCTCTGAATCTCTCTAGTAACTTTTGCACTGAGCTTTCTAGTATACTTTACAATCTATCTAGAGTAGAGATTGAACATTCATCTATTCATTAGTTGATAGCCTTAGGTCACCACCACAGTCTTCAAAGGTTAGAGCTTTCTTGCTAATTTACAAAATTTATATGTGCCAAGTCTTTGAGGACTTGAACATGCTAGGAGTTGTAAAGATTCAATTGAGGTGCTCTTGTTTGAACAAAAGTGTATGCACATGTCAGCTATGATGCACTGATATTTTTTCTCAAAGAAGTATGCAATGTCCGACACGTATTAGACATGATACACCTCCGACATGCCTCTGACACGTGTCAAACATGCCGAAGATGTGACTGATTAAAATAATATTAAAAATAAATCAAACACACGAGTCTGACGCGCGTGCCTAAAATATTTTATAATTTTTATTAAAAAAAAAAATTACATCTCAATTCTTTATTTAGTAAAAATAAAATAAAAATTAAATTTCTTATTTCCTCTCCATAGCCCAAAATCAATCGCCCGCATTCAATACCTAATTTCCTGAACATTCTCATTTTCATTTCTCTCTGATAGGTTGCGGCTAGAATTTCACAACAATGTTAGATGTTATCTCAATAACGACATCCAATGCAATCCCAACATCAATATTTCAAAACATCTCAACACCAAAGTACGACGTTGTGTTGGCATTGATGCTCTACGCCGGCAATTCTATGCCCACAATCAACCCCCATGCTTTCTTGACATCTCATTTGTCCAATATCATCTTAAACATTGAAGGCCAACATCATCTCGAGATCGACAAAATTGATGATGTCTTGACATCAATGCACCCTATATTTTCAATAATTAATGTGTCCCGTGTAAGAGTCATATCGTATCTATGTCCATGTTTGTGCATCATAGCATGTCAGTGAAAGAAAGTGCGTTTATAATTTCTTCGCAAACAGCTCAAGAAGCATGGGAGTTTCTCTAGTAGTAGTTAGTGGAATCTTAAGCAAAAGAGTTTTAAGCATGGATGTAAGCCAATTGGGTGCTAAATCAGGTAAAAATATGTTTTAGTCATTTGCTCTAAAGTTAGATTTTCTTTCCTTTTTTGTATTATTTACTTTAGTTTATGCTTGAATGTTCATTTGGTGATTCACATGTTAATACACTTGTGCGTGTAGAGTACATCAATTTACTTGTGCTCAAAGTCAATCGCTATCACATATAGCATACATATGTATTTGTAACAACATATCATTTTTATTGTAGACATTTGTTTGTGTTTGGTGATTAGTGATTTGATGATATTAGCTTGTTTAATTGAGTTTTTTATTCAAATTGAGCTTATAAGCTTGAATCCTCAGTCACTTGTTACATAATTTATATCATCTTGAATACTCTTATATTAATTTATCGCATCTTCTATACATCTTGAATAACTAAACTTGTTTGTGTTTTCAATTTAATTTTATTCACTGGTGGGTTTGAGCTAAAAAGGATATTGAAATAAGTTGAAAGTATCACATATAGCATGCCCATATATCCATAACATCATATCATTTTTATTGTAGACATTTGTTTGAGTTACTTTGGCATTAGTGATTTGATGATATTAGCACGTTTAATTGAGTTTTTCATTCATATTGAGCTTATAAGCTTGAATCTTCAGTCACTTAATATATAATCTATATCATCTTGAATACCCTTGAATTAACTTATCACATCTTCTATACATCTTGAATAATTAAACCTGTTAGTGTTTTCAGTTTAATTTTATTTAGTGGGTTTGAGCTAAAAAGGATTTCAAATGAAGTTGAGAGCATCCATGTACGCCAAATTTCCACCCCCACCGCCCTTTTGGTTACCCTAGACTACAATTTTAATAATTTAAAATTTTACATATGTTTCTATCCTATTTTTGTATAGCTTTAGTGCTACTGGTGGATGGAACTTCTGGCCTCCATGCAAGTACTCTGGGTTCCACTCCTAAAGTGTCCTAGTGAGACTTAAATATCTTTGAAGAGGTCGGGTATCAGTTTGAGTTTTTAGAAGCAAGAGCAACTGTTTAAAAGGCTGTATCACCCCAAAGTGACCTCAAACTGTCCCTCGAACAAAAGAGAAATAGCCCATGACCAAACTAAATGAGTATAAAAAATGAGCTTCCAATCAGTTTCAGACATTATCAACCCACGGAATCAATGGCCGGATATCCAGAAAAATCGGTGATAATGATTTCAAATATTCAGAAAGTCCTTTGCATTATTGTAACTGCAAGTTGATAACAGTTCCAAACTTCTCACACATTCTTTCTTGCTTTTTAAAAATCGCAAGGCAATGGAAGGAACATAAGAAAATGGATTCTACATTACGAAGAATGATTTCACCTTCCAGTCAAGGATGCAATTTCTGGCAGTTCCACGGGAAGTAGATGTGCATCTGAAATCAAGGAACAAAGAACATTTACAGACCACTAAAAAAGTTAAAGGACAAGCTACGAAGAAAATGAAGAACAGTGGAGGGATAGACATATATAGTTTTCAAAACGAATTCAATTCATGTTTATTATGGTAAATCGGTAACCAATAATAGAAACTTTTGAATTTATTGTTCTGATATCACTTTTATAGCAATTCAAAAAATTAAATAAGTGAAATAACAGCAGTTTTTGGTTGTCTGCAAGATAATCATGTGCTAATCAAGTTAAGAAATAAAAATTGAAAGGAGAGTAACCGTCATGATGTTAGTGCGGAAGATTACATGCAGAGAGCATTCAAAAGATTAGCAAACACGTTATTTTTACTATAAAGCAATGATTTTTTTCCACTTCAAACAAATAGATAATAACTTAATAACGAGTAAGACGATACAAACAAATGCTGCAATTACGAGTCAAGAAACTAAAAACTTTCAATCGTTTTGCTGAAAAGTACAAAGGTGAGCAAAGGATAAAAAATGACAAGGTTGGTACAGTTTTGTCAGTATCAGTTGATTATTCAGCAAAATTAGCCTAAGAAGTTCCAATTTCTCACAAGCGAATCACAAGGAGTCAATTCGAGCTATAAAGGAGTTGAACAAGACTGGTTTTAGACCCATCATCAAGATAACCCAATCTTTTTTTTTTTAGAAAATTACATGTAATGAAAAAGGATAATCTTATGCTTATTTCAGGTGGCATTTCTCATGCTTTTCTCACAGCTGTTATTTTTTTAAATATTATTGCTTCTTATGGATAAAAAGATTTTTGATTGATTGATGAATGAAATTAATTGCTTCTTCCGAATTGATCCAAATTGTGTATGCAGGCTGCTCCAAATTGTGTAAATGGAGTTGTCTTCCAAAATAGAAGAAATTTAGCATCTCTTTGTTTTTGAATAAATGAAATTAATTGCTCCTACCAAGTTCTTGTAGTATTTGAACAAAATTTTAGGAAGTTAGGATCTCTTTGTTTCTTTTTTTTATTATTATTAGTCTTTAATTTTATTTTATTTTTTCGTCTCGGTGCCAAGCATCCATAACTTTGGCTAATAAATGGAACGCATCTCCAAAATAGAAGAAATTCTAAGTCCATAATCCACTGTTTTTTGCACCTATTCATAAGTCACCGAAAGGATATCACTAGTATTAATCCTAACTAATCGGCAACAACACTTGCAACTACTAATTTCTCATGTTGTCATCCTTTGCACATGGCTCCTTCAGCTTAAAAAGCATGACAATTCATCTTTGTCTTCTTATAATAAAAGCAAGGACTATATTTCAACTTGTTATGAGCTTGTTTTGGTCATGATTAGAAGGTAATCATGCTCACTTTCAGTTGTTTTATCATTTCACTCGAGCTTAGCAACAAACTTGCTTGAAATAATTGAATTCTTAACAGCTACTAAGCTTTTGTATGACATCCATGTAGAATGGGGTCTCAAAAGTACTTATAAGGAGGCACAGAGTATAATACAAACAAAGCTTGATATTTGGTATCAATAATCACATAAAGATTTCTCGAATCTCGAATGATGAAATTAAATTTATTCATAAATATCCGTTGCATGCAAAGAAAGTAAAGTCTCTCCTAATAGAATTTGTTGGAGCCGCTTCTGGTCATGCACAAAGTCTCCAAATTGGACCCACAATGTTTCACGGTTGTTTTTTATAACACCTCTGTTAAGACCATTTTTGTCAAACACAATTGAATTGCTGAGAGGGCCTCATAACCATCTCTTTATTGTCTTCTCCATTCATCACTTCAGGGCCTTTACAAGTCTATGCTGGACTAAAAGTCTAAAACACGACATATCTTGATTTTTTAAAGCCCAAAACTCTTGAGCCCTCAAGTTTCTTGATCTGAAACTTCTTGGTTATTGTATTTGGCTCTAATACTTGTTGTTTAAAAAGAGTACACTTAACTTTATGCCACAGAAGAATTAACCCAGAAGCAAGTAATATGAATTTTCTGTAAACAAGTAATCAGAGCCAATTTGACACCTGAGCAACATCCAACTCTTGTCATTTAGCCTGGGTGAACTAACCATTCTTCTCTATAATTAATTAATTATTATCATTTAATTAATATCTACTCAGCTAATTATAAATAAAACATCAACTGGATGCATGCCGTAGACTCTTAGGACTATACATCATACATAGGACGACACTTACATCTTCAAGTTCAATGGCACCTCTATTTGTCAGAAACTCATTCAAGTTCAATGGCACCTCGATTTGTCTGAAACTCATTAAGTCCTCCTCAAGGCGACCACATAAGCCTAAATTGGATCCAAAACCATTTATAGCCAAGATCTTAAGGCTAGGTTTCAACTTCTAATAGTTATTCAACTAAATGCTGAGAATCAATATGTGTCTCTGAGTTTAGTTAACCATTTGTGGTCCTACCCAACGCATGCACTTACCTACATAAACCTTCTCTAGTTTCAACCACTTCTACTTCTAATTCAACCAAATCATTATAAGCCTTAGCAAAGGGTAAGACACCATTTGAGATTTTTCAAGATTCGACCCATAAAAAGCATATAGATCATGTACCTATGAGTCCGAAAATTCGTGCCCCAGCCTCTCCACGACCATTTCCTTTTAGTGGGCGACGAGAGTTTTAACAAGTTCAGGTTCCGGAGAATATTTTCAGAAGGCATATTAGTTTTCAATAAGAAATTACCCAGAGATTTCACCCTCATTTGAGGGGACTTCATGATTTGAGTTCAAGTTTCCTATAGGTGCAAGGTGCAAGCCCCTATAATTAATTATCCCTCCTGATAACAAGAGAGATATTTTGATTAACGATAGTCATTGAACAGATACGTAGGATCCAGCATATATTGAAAATTGAAATTTATCAACGTGCACTTAAAACGGAGGGTAGGGGGAATGACAATGAATCCGATCAAGATCCCATTGTTCCATCATCCCGAGTAATCATGTTCCCTAATATATTTAGTCATAAGAGGAAGTCGACCATACCTGACTGATGGATCTTTATAAACAGCCATGGGATGTGTCGTCCAATGGTACCTTATAGACTTGGGGTGAATGTTTGACTAAGGGGACAAATTTGAGTCCACCTTAGCTAACAAAGGGCGTTGTGCCCCATCGATTATACCATATTGATTCATTACTCAAGGGTTTAGAGCCAATGGGGTACATACGGACACTGGCCGAGACTGTAATTTAGTGGTACTATTTGGAGGCAAAACCACCCGCTCCGAGGGCCCCGACCATAACCGTTTACCATTGATGTCATTTGACAGCGAAACCATTGATTAAAGGACATGTGTCACGTCCTTACTGGGAAGTGCTTTTCACTAGACATTCACACTTTGTGTGCTGAAGTGCTTTTCAAATATATCCACCTCGACAAACTGTTATGAAGGGTGGAGAAATTTTTTCCCGTCCAACGCCCCGAAGTTGCATACTCGAGTGCCCCAGCGCTGAACGACAGAGAGCAGAGCGCCACAGCGGCCTAGATATGGCACCACAACTGCTGAAGACAGAGGCTTGAGCACCGCAGCGCTTCAATTCGGCGCCGCAGCTCTGCGAGGCGGACTGCACGGTTTTATTTCTCGTTTTCTGAAGGGTTGCGTCCCTTGGAGTTATTTTACTTGGTTTTCTCTTGTATTTTCAGTTAGGAAAAGATTGAGAACGATGCATGTGAGAAGAGAAGAAAGGAGAGCGTGAGAGAGAAGCGAGATCTGTACTTATTTCTCCTAATTTTCATTATGGATTTCTTGGTGTGGCATGTCTCCGTGATTTTTTCCCTATTTTGGATTTTTCCACGTTAAATCCTAGCACCCTTTACTTTTATGTTGCTTTTACTTTCGTGTTTGTTTCGTCGTTGTGGTGTTTACTCCTCATCCTTCCCCAACAGTTAATCTTGATATTTGAAAGTATTTTAAAAGGTAGGGACCCTCCAATGGATGATCAACTTTCAATACGGCTATCATCGGGGTGACATGGTTGTCATTTGAAAATATTTTTTTAGGAATTTGGAGATAGTTACAAGGGTAGAATCCCCTCAAGTTGAGATTAACATTCAACTCAACCATCAACGGGTGACATGGTTGTCATTTGAATATATTTTATAGGAATTTGAAGACATTTTCAAGGGTAGAATCCTCTCCGTTTGAGATTAACATTCAACGCAGTCATCATCGAGGATTAAAATATTTAGTTATTTGAACCTTGTCAACTTTGTTCACCCGATAATTGAGGATTGGGTTCAACAATAGATGATTATGCAAATGCTAGAACCGAGAGATTGTATTTTATGAAGAGATTCATTTAATGAGCCTTTGAAAGCCTAATATGAACTTTAATACTAAATATCCCAGTGGATTTATGATTAAGCATTCTCATATTAATTAAAGTCATGTTGACTCCAATCCTTTCAAGGAGGAGGATCAGACTTGAATATTTGACCTGCGCAACATTCTCAAACCTAAGCAACAATAGGAACACATGCGGGTATTCATATTTGTATAATGATGCGTGCATTTAGTATATTATGCATGATATACGTCATAAAGCATTCATATGATTGACAAGTTACGTCCATTTGATTGGTATGATGCATTGACAGGATTTGCATGATTGACATGTAGGATTATCATGCTTGTCTAAATGACGTCGTGGATCTGCATAACCGTCATAGTACGTTTACTAGTTAGCATAATGAACTTGCACGAATGATGTAATATATTTGCATACTTGCTTTCGTGTGAGACATCCGTATGTTGATTAACCTATGCTCGTGATGCATTTGTATGTTATAACATGTTTGCATAACGCATTACATCTTGCATGATGTGTATGTACAATGTATTCATGTATTATATGCATGTTCATATAAAACATTTATGTGATGATTCAATGTCTTCGTGTAACATAAAATATATTTGCATATCGGCGTGATATGCTTACATAATCTATTC